ACTGGTCAGTGCCTTTTGCATTTGTAACTCCCTGTATGAATTATCATTATCACAGTTATTAGGATGAGTGTGGTCTCAGAACTCATCTGCTGATGTGGTCACAAGATAGTTTCTATTATTACCATCTCCACCAAGAAGTTTATGTAATAGGTTTAGTTCTTCTGTTTCATAATTTGCCTGTTTGCTAGAAGGATAACCCAAATTTTACTAGAAGGTGCTCGGAAGAGAAGTGATTAACTTTCAAAGTAGTGGATCCACATCCTGGATTTGATCAGTTAGTTAGTTAAATATCAAAGACTATTCTATTATCCAGATATCCTTCAGAATTCAGGGGCTCAATTTAGGTATTGCGTGGAGGTCATTTTCAGTCTTGCTAGACCTGTGATTTTCTTACTATGACAAGTCAAGTTGAGTTAAAATCACTGGTAATCTGACAGTGTTACAAATCTCAGATCGCTAGTGACAACTGGGGCTTCTGACCTGTACCAAGTTTATCAAGATTGTACAGCCACAACAGTCAGCTGCATATCAGATGTGTTGTAAGGTTCAGTTTGGCATATTGTAATGTTGCCCTTCTTTAACACACAGATGAACATCTTAGAAACATCAATGACCGCATGTTTAAGTTATGTGGAAGTTTCGTCAGGATGTTTGTTATGATTTCATTCCAGTGTACTAAATCATAACAGACACATCCGATGATACCATTGATCTGTATTATACTTGAGGATGCACACTGGGAGTTTTCTCAGCTTAGCTCCTCTTAATTGATAATGTCCACCAGTCTTTAAATAATAAAAATCAAATCTAAATCAGGACATGCTGATAGCAATATTTAGATCATAATAAATATAAAAACCTCCCTTAATTAGAGTTTACCGTTTTAGATTGCAAAGCTGGGAAAGTAATACAAACACGCTGCTTGGTCTTTTTAATGTAAATAGTCAGAGCCAATTACATGACAGCAACTCATAGGCATGCAGACATGGCCGAGATGACCCGTAAAGTTCAAATCGAATATCAGAATGAGGAATAAAGGTGATTCAAGTGTGTTTGAATGTAGCATGGTTGTTGGGGCCAAACAGACACGTCTGAGGGCTTCAGACCAGAAACTGCTGATCTACTGGGATTTTCCCACACAAGCATCTCTAGAGTTTACAGAGAATGGTTCGAAAAAGAAATTATCCAGTGAGCTCTACTCTTATCGCACATTTTTTCAGATTAATGCGTTTGTAACTCCCAATGTCAGATATCCTTATCTTAACATATAATATTTAATACTAGTGTTTGCTTGCACCTGTGAATTTGTGTAGCCTGTGTTTGTGTATCTTCATGGTAAAATATTGTTCTGCAAACTCCTACAACACAAAGACTAACACACAAGATTGAATGTTTATACGTCTGCCTGTCTGTGGACTCATTTTGTGATCACAACAGTGTCACTACCGTATGAAATAAAGACAGAAAGCGTTCCTACTGCGGTTGAGAACAAACTAAAGGCAAAGTTTGGAAAATCTGTGTAACTCACTGGCATACCAGCTGGTGTGATCACTCACCACATGCTCTCTTAGGTTTGCATTTTAAGTTCAAAAAGTGGTCAGCAAAATCAAATTGCAGAGCTTTGGATTTCCTAGTAGGTTTTGTAGATGGCAAATGTATTCTCTAAAGATGCATTTGTGAATCTTGAAACTGTTTTGAACCCCATTCATCCACTTTCTTAACCACTTATCCAACTCAATGTTCTGGGTAGGATGAGGCCTATTAGAAGTGTCATAGGTAAGAAATGGGTACTTTGGACAGATGGTCCATCCATTACAGAGTGAACACAGGACAACCATACACACCCATACATGCTTGTCACCTTTTATTCTGATCCTGATATAATCACCAGTTGACATAACAAACGTGTTTTTGGGCTGTGGGAGGAACCAGAGTGCTCAAAGAGAACCTAAAGAGGTTCTTCAAAAAGAAAGGCCACGGCTGACCATGATGTTTGAACCAGGAACATTTCTGCCATTGGGAAACTGTGCTAAACATCCTGATCACACGTCATGCAAGGAGACTTCTTCCGAGTCCTCCACTTTACTTTGTGAGGCAGCTTATTTCGTGCAACATCACAATAAAATAGTCTACCTCGTGAGGGACCAATCTGTGTCCTCTCAGGAACTACTGACCAATAAGGTCACAGCTACAGTGACAATAAAGTAGACATGTTTCCTGTACTGATGCCAACTTTCTATCTTTCAAACCTCCCATTTCTCTTTCCCATTTTTCACTTTCTGTGGTTCCTTAAGTTAGCTAGTACACACAGATAGACTAATGGTTGCCCTTTTCCTAAAACCTTTGAAGGAACACACTGCAGGTGGTTCTGTGTAACAAACCAGCTGGCTGTTTCCAGGAACACAATTGCAAGCTTGCTTTACTCAAATGAACAGGCTTTACAGCTCCTTCGTCAAAAAGGAGCCGTTTACACCAGTCAAATCAACACAATACTGAAATATAAGTTAGGTACATTCTTAAGAAAGCAAAGGTGTTAAATCCAAGCATGCAGCTCCTTCTGTTTAGAGGAAGAATGGAGAGAACCCTTGGCAGACCTCTAGGAGGTTTAAAGCATGCCGGCCTCCTGCAGTCCTCCTGCAAACACATTCAACACTCCGCTCTGCACTGTTTTTAATTCAGCCCAGGTCTCACGAGGAGGTGAACAAGTTGGATATCTGCCAGGTAAATCATTCAAAGTAACAGCCCTGAACCATCAGAGAACATTATTCTCGAGTGCTGCAGGTTTTTTCTTTCACCGCCTTCACTCTTCACTCTGACTTTGTTAGTGACGTGTGTGCTAAATGCAACCTTTTATCCAGTGACATATTATGTGACAAAGGGGACACTGGTCCCTCGTCCGTGTGGGGGATGTGCCCGTAAATCTGCCATCTTTACTGTGCAGTTTTCTTCATTTCCTTACGCTGACTCATACAGTTCCCTCCGCCCTTGCTCTCCATTTGTTGCTAGAAGCTTTCAGCCAGAATCCTCATTGGCAGTGCGGCCATTCTGCAGACTTTGCCACTCATTTACAGATTGGTTTTAGCGTTAACGACCACCTCCTTTGACCCACGGCCCCTAACACACTCACGTCTCCAGTGTGGGGCCTCTGCTGTAGCTTCAAGATAAAGCACTTGCAAGCTGAGGTCCAGTAATCAGTATGTGCAACAGATGTGATTAACTTCTGATCTTGTGATCACATATTTGTTTGCTACAGTGTGAGGGGTCGCTCTACCCCTGGGTTTATGTTGTGCTTAATATGTGTTTCAAGACTAATGTGCGTTTGCACTTGTTTCACTCAACCATATTTAAATAATGCAGTTTCGGTTCTTTTCAAAGCCGTCAATTTACCAAACAAATCACTGGCAACTGAAAAGCAAACATGTTAGTTTGCCTACAACCACTGCAGAAGGAGGGCTGCTTGCTGTGTGTGTGTCAGTGGTAAACAATGACACAATTACAATCTGCACCACTGTTAACAAAACTGTATAATCAACATTTTTTAGGGATCTCGTGATGAAGCAAAGGTGATATTTCTTACAGGACAAAGTACTACTTTGACTGAAGTTGACTTTTTGTCATTTTGTTTCTAATATTTATTTAGGTAGAAGTATTTAGTTGGATTTTAAAGCGGCTTTACATGATACCCTTCCCTTTATCATAGCATAATGTCCTGCAATTTTTACTTGAATACTTGATTTTTTTTATACTCTGAGTCCTTCAATAGAGAAAAAAATAGGTTTAAAAAAGACAAACGGCTGGTCTGTTGCGTCAGATAAAAAGCTCTTCTTTGCTTATTCGTTTCTGTAATCTCTTATCAGTCGACATCCTTACATGAGTGGGGGCCTTGGGTTACAAGAAGACACATGAGTTACTGTTGTCACTCCGACAGTATGTAGCAGAAACGAAGACATCCTAGTATAACCAGCGCTGAACATGTTCGGATGGATACCTGTGAATAAACTGAATTTATTTGTATATATTTTGCATATCTTATATTTCTATTGTCTTTTATTGTACTTAGTGTAGTTTATAGCTGTTTCTATTGTTTTGAAATTATCATTTACTCTACTTATGTATTCTGCGTGGCATCTGTGGACAGCAAAGAAAGAATTTCACTGTACAGGGGACTGTTACAGCGTGGTACTCTTAGAGGCAGCGGATGGATGGAGCTGTGATAATCTCTAAGAGGCAACGGACAAATTCTTGATTTAGAAAATGGCCAGAGTAGTTCTTGGCAACCTGCTCTATCCTTCTCAGACAGACGGTGACGGGGGGTATGAGAGTGAGAGTCTCTGACAGATATCTACATGGGGAGATTTGGAGAGGAGAAGAGGTCTGCTAAGGTTAAATTTCCATCCAGCTCAAGTCTGGAAAAAGAAAAAAAGCAAACCTTACCCTGTGCACCAGTTATATCACATAACCACCTCTCAAGGCTGTGCTACATATTAGATCGCTCTCAAAAGAAAGACCAGTGTGCTCCACACTGCACAGTAGGTAAAAAGAGCTGGTGAGAAACAACACACTGGTTAATCATTAACACTAAAGGTTTTTTGTTAACATCCTACCTCTGATTAAGTCAAACTCAGTCTGTATCCAAAGGTCAGCATCCAGGTACTGGTCACTGTGTAGGAATGTTAAATAAACTTGCAACTACATGATGACCAACAAATGGTTAAAAAAAAAAAAAGAGGAGTGCCATCTAGTGTTGAGTAAAGATAATGTTAACAAACCCTCATAAATATACCACGGCGGTTTCATGTGGATCTTTCCAGGGGTCACATTACAGGCCTCAAGAAGCTCACATGTTAGTCATCAAACATTTATTCAGGATGAAGAACTGAAATCATTGCAAAACAAATCAAAAAGTCACTTTAAGTGTTTTCCAGAAGTGAACCCATATGTGACTTAGGTTTACTGATAATAAAAAAAAAAAAAACAAAAAACACACAAAACCCCCCAAAACGCATCAAATAAAATGTTTAATGTTTTATCGCAATACAAGACAGTTCAACGCTAAAGTTTTACATAGCTTGTTCCAAATACAATAAGACAGTTGTGACTAATGTATACAAAGTGCCACTACACTGTAATACATCATCCATAAATGTTGAATTTCAAATGAAAATACTACATTGAGGTTTGGAATCTGACAGTTTCATTTCTGGCTTAAAGGTCCGCTTAACAGAAAGTGTGTGATGGGTGATCTCTTGATTTCCCGAACTTTGAGAAGAAGCTGAAACACTATGAACTGACAGTTCAGTCTAAAATGCTTCTTCTCAGTGAGAAGCACTTCTAGGTTTAAGTATATGCATGTTTGTAAAAATCAAATCCCAATGTCCAGTTTTACTACTTAAAACTCTTACACTCCTGTTTATCCTTGTGCCATTTTTCTCTCATTTTTTCCGTAAGCAGCTTCAGTAATCGTACTCACAAACGCAACGTGGCTGACGTCTGTGACATTGCATTGTAAAGGAAAGTGTTGTTAAATGGCACAAACTGGTGGCTGATAATCTTTATGGCCTCTTGAGCAGCTGATCCTAAAATAAAACGTAATGAAAGATTTGAACAGATATATCTTACTCATCAGCACTGTTTCACAAAGAAATGCTGTAGGAATCAATCAAAACTTTACCTCCCAAAAATGCAGAAACTGTGTGTGGCTCTGCCGCTCCATATCGACAGCTGCAGATGTATAAACAGAAAGCAAATATTTACTTATGTATTTTTGAAACAATTACTCAAAACAGCACATCCAGCTTTGGCCTCGACTTACAACTCATGGATATAGTCGTCTTTGATGTTGACATTGAGGCTGTACTCCTGCAGTAGGCTGTTCACACAGACCTTCAGTTTGCTAATGTCTTCCTCCACCTGGTAGTTATAAACGCCTAAAGAGAGTAAACACAGGGGGGAAAAGACATGAGAATAAAGAAATCAGTTCTGTTTCTGTATTCTGGCATCAGCAGGAAGTAAAATCAGACTGTAGCATGCACTTACTGCCCACTTTGTTAGGTACAGCTGTTCAACTGCTCATTAATACAAATATCTAACCAACCAGTCACATGGCAGCAATTCAGTGCATTCAAGCATATACAGTGGGGCAAAAAAGTATTTAGTCAGCCACCGATTGTGCAAGTTCCCCCACTTAAAATGATGACAGAGGTCAGTAATTTGCACCAGAGGTACACTTCAACTGTGAGAGACAGAATGTGAAAAAAAAATCCATGAATCCACATGGTAGGATTTGTAAAGAATTTATTGGTAAATCAGGGTGGAAAATAAGTATTTGGTCAATAACAAAAATACAACTCAATACTTTGTAACATAACCTTTGTTGGCAATAACAGAGGTCAAACGTTTACTATAGGTCTTTACCAGGTTTGCACACACAGTAGCTGATATTTTGGCCCATTCCTCCATGCAGATCTTCTCGAGAGCAGTGATGTTTTGGGGCTGTCGTCGAGCAACACGGACTTTCAACTCCCACCACAGATTTTCTATGGGGTTGAGGTCTGGAGACTGGCTAGGCCACTCCAGGACTTTCAAATGCTTCTTACGGAGCCACTCCTTTGTTGCCCGGGTGGTGTGTTTTGGATCATTGTCATGTTGGAAGACCCAGCCTCGTTTCATCTTCAAAGTTCTCACTGATGGAAGGAGGTTTTGGCTCAAAATCTCACGATACATGGCCCATTCATTCTGTCCTTAACACGGATCAGTCGTCCTGTCCCCTTGGCAGAAAAACAGCCCCATAGCATGATGTTTCCACCCCCATGCTTCACAGTAGGTATGGTGTTCTTGGGATGCAACTCAGTATTCGTCTTCCTCCAAACACGACGAGTTGAGTTTATACCAAGAAGTTCTACTTTGGTTTCATCCGACCACATGACATTCTCCCAATCCTCTGCTGTATCATCCATGTGCTCTCTGGCAAACTTCAGACGGGCCTGGACATGCACTGGCTTCAGCAGCGGAACACGTCTGGCACTGCGGGATTTGATTCCCTGCCGTTGTAGTGTGTTACTGATGGTGACCTTTGTTACTTTGGTCCCAGCTCTCTGCAGGTCATTCACCAGGTCCCCCCGTGTGGTTCTGGGATCTTTGCTCACCGTTCTCATGATCATTTTGACCCCACGGGATGAGATCTTGCGTGGAGCCCCAGATCGAGGGAGATTATCAGTGGTCTTGTATGTCTTCCATTTTCTGATGATTGCTCCCACAGTTGATTTTTTCACACCAAGCTGCTTGCCTATTGTAGATTCACTCTTCCCAGTCTGGTGCAGGTCTACAATACTTTTCCTGGTGTCCTTCAAAAGCTCTTTGGTCTTGGCCATGGCGGAGTTTGGAGTCTGACTGTTTGAGGCTGTGGACAGGTGTCTTTTATACAGATGATGAGTTCAAACAGGTGCCATTCATACAGGTAACGAGTGGGGGACAGAAAAGCTTCTTACAGAAGACGTTACAGGTCTGTGAGAGCCAGAGATTTTCCTTGTTTGAGGTGACCAAATACTTATTTTCCACCCTGATTTACCAATAAATTCTTTACAAATCCTACCATGTGGATTCATGGATTTTTTTTTCACATTCTGTCTCTCACAGTTGAAGTGTACCTCTGGTGCAAATTACTGACCTCTGTCATCATTTTAAGTGGGGGAACTTGCACAATCGGTGGCTGACTAAATACTTTTTTGCCCCACTGTAGATATGGTCAAAGTGAATTGCTGAAGTCCAAACTGAGCATCAGAATGGGGAAAAACAAAGGGGCTTTAACTTTAAAAGGGTGTGTCAGCTGCTGATCTACTTGGATTTTCCTGCACAATCATCATAGAGGGTTACAAATAATGGTTTTAAAAAAAGAAATATTCAGTGGGCAGTAGGCTGCTGATGTGAGAGGTCTGAGGAGAATGGCCAGACGGCTTAAAGCTAATAGAAAGGCAATGGTAACTCAAATAACCATTAGTTGCAACCGAGGTATGCAGAGAAGCATTTCTGAATACACAAAACTTCAATGCTTGCAGCAGATTGGCTACAGCAGCAGAAACCACAGCAGGTGCCACTCCTGTCAGCTTCACACGGGCTCTCCAACCGGGGACAACTGAAGTGGTTCTAACATGTTTCCTGGTCTGATGAATCTTGACTTCTCTTGCACCATTTGATCGCACCAAATTTTGAATCTAGCAAACAACATGCTAGCATGAATCCATTCTGCCCCGTTTCAACAGTTCAGACTAGTGGTGGTAGTGTAAGGATGTGGGGGATATTTTCTTTGGCACACTCTGGGCCATCATGTCAATATGATCAAAAATATCTGAGGAATGTTTCCAGCACCATTTTGAATCTGTGCCATGAAGAATGAAGACATTTCTGAAGGCAAAAGAATTGTCCAACCTGGTGAAAGCATGGTTTAACAAAAGACGAGAAGTATTCTCGATAAACCCTGCAAGCCTCCCCCCCCCTCTTTTTAAGACTATAGCTTAAATGCTGACTGTATACAAACTGGATGAGATTCTTAATGTTGCAGCAGCTATTCTTTTCTTAATGGTCAGTGGCCACATTAGTATGTATTTACATATCCAAAGCTTGATCAATATACCTTTCCTCGTTGAGGAAAGCTTAAAGCACTTCATACCTGGGTAGCGAGAGTGCTGCTGATAGAAACGATCAACAGCTCGAAGCATGAGGTAGAAGACCATCTCACTATCCGGACTGTCCATGCAGGAGGCTGTGGGGAGACAGCTGATGTTAATACAAAAGTAGGCTTTGTTGCAACAAGAACATGACGTGACTCCAACATAAAAGAGTTTACTCTAAGAGAAAATGAATCCCCAACTTACTGATTTCATCTTTGTTTACTGTATCCACACTATATTCTTCAGCCAGAGACCTGCAGCGCACCACCCGCAGAAAGGATGCATTCTTACCTAAACACAAATATCTACAGTTAGGAAATGATTAGCCTCACATGAAGCAGGTGTCACAAAGAGATCATATCACGGTTCACTTCCAATGAGTCCTTAGAGAGGAAAAAGTAACAGAATAACGTGCTGAAAATGGCCAGGCTCAGAGGAAATAGAGACTCATATATATAGAAAATATATATCAGAGAAAATATCAGTAAAGCAACACATGACAGACTTTCATTTTTACAAATGAATGTATGGCACTGTGCAGCTTTGTTTCACATATGTTAATGTCATATGATGTTAATAAAGCTCACTGGAGGGCATTAGTAAAATCAATAATAATTAAATTACCATTAATAGTCATATCTGAAAGCCATGTTATTTGAAGTTCATCAATTATAACCAACTTCCAGGTTTTACACAACACAATTAAACGGGGCCCAGCTGAACAGCAATAAAAACTGGGCCCCCTCAAAAACACACAGTATTTATCCCTCTTGACACGCACGCACGCGCACACGCACGCACACACAGAGTGAATGGTCGTTGATAAAAGAACATAGTGCTTACAGAACAGTTTGATGTCCTTCTCAGGAATGCTTTCTGCTGGCTAGTGGAAAAAACGTAAGCAGAATTAAGTACTGTAGGAATCCAGTTTTTAGTCAAATTAAATGGTGAAACTGCCATACTGAGCATGTGAGGGCAAACTCTATAGAATTCTATAGCTCAATCATATCATGACTCCCTGCCCGACTAAAGAGAAAAGACACATGATGGAGATATTAGGTTCTAGTAGAAAAAGCATTAACTTCATCACTCTTGGCTTTGCTGATGAATTAAACTTATTCGGATGGAGATGAAGGATCTACAAATGTACCTGTGATAAACACGTGCTGTGATATGACTTTTTAAAAAACTGTACCATATACTTCTCCAGACTAGCACACTAGTCTGATTGCTGCACTGTTTTCAGCACACTAGATGTTAATTTCATTATTAAATTACATTTTTATTTATATAGCACCTTTCAAGACAGAATCACAAAGTGCTGCACGTAAGATTACAAGTCATAAAAAGGGTTAAAAAAGAGAAAATAAAACAGGCAAAAACTTAACCAAAAGCAGTTTTAAAAAGGTGAGTTTTGAGTCGTTTTTTTTTTTTTTTTTTTAAAAACAGCTACTGAGTCCACAGTTCTTAATTATGCATTAAATTTAGAAATATAAGCTTTATACTGACTCCACAGCTTTGCGCCATACCTTTCCAACAGACTGTAACAGAGATTCTACATGTTTAGAAACAGCTGCTGCATCCTGCATGGCCTTTTCCCTGTAACTGTAATAAAACACAAATAAGAAGTCAAACCACCCACAAATGGCAAGTATGTATCAATAAATGCAGAACTGTTGAGTTGACCTCTGTTGCTCTTGTTTAATTAAACAGTGAGCACCCACATATTTCCCCACTTACACATTTTGAAGGTTGATAAACTTCTGAGAATCTGCAATCATGTCAGGTATGGTTCCTCGTACGGGTAGGCTTCCATTTCCCTCGTTGTGAACAAATTCTTTGACAGCTCGCAGCATCACCCAGAAGGATGGACTCTAAACAAACACATTCAAGAAATACTTCACAGATTAAAAGCAAACAACTTAAAATATGTATTTTTTTTATAGGAAAGATTGGGCAAAAATTACAACCTGTGCTGTGATGTTTTTACACTGCTCACTATTGAAGATGTCTTCAACAGCGCTAGGAATCTGCAGAAGCAAGAGATTTCACAAGTCTTAATAGACTAAACTATGGAGGGTTGGGGGTTAAAAGTGAGATATGCTGTGTGGGACACAAGATAGCTCTTAAGGAAGCCAAGAGCTTTTAAATTTTGTCACCTTGGTAGGATTTAAAGCAGTATTGACATTCTTAATAGCTTCCTCAAAGTTTTCCTCATCCTCTGGGACACCATTCTCATTCTTCCTGATCCCTGAAAAAAAAGAAAAAAGAAATAGTATACATAAAATGAAGAGAAAAAGTCCACAATTATCTTCACAGGTCCACAAGTACCTTCCCGAATGAGCTGTCTGAAGGCCTCCTTCTCCTTGTAGTTTTTTGGTGGCTGACCATTATGCTACAATGACAAACAGCAAAAGCAGAATTATATTCTTCTGCACAGCAACAGAAATGCTAAAGAAGCTGTCAGACATTTTGGCACTAGAGAAGCAAAAGAAAAATGTAATACTGCACCTCACTGAGCCATTTCTCCAGGTATTTAGCAACAATGATTATCCACGGTGTGTGACTGTGATCCTACGGATTAAATAAAGAACAGAAAGGAAGATGATTGGATGTGTAACCCTGGCATCATTTGAATAATGTGCATGCACAAATGAAACGCATACCTTCTTCTCCATGCTGTCAAGATCATATGACTTAATGTGGTTCTGAAATTCAGCATAGGGTTGGTCCAACCTTAGATCCTCCAAGGCATTGTCTGGGTGAGATTCAATCACTGAAGAGAGATGCAGAAAAATTCAATATTAGTGTCATGTCAGTACTCTTAAATATACTGTGTAACTTGTGAAATATTAATACATAAATAGGCTATGTTCCTACCAAGTTCACTGTTCACGAAAAGTGAACTTATTGGGTTAGACATACCAACTGTAGAATGCCAAGACTATAAAAAGGATTTAAAGAAGAAAACTGCTGCTAAGAGCAACTTACCTGTATGCTCCTGCACCACCAGTCTCATGTAGCCAATGAGGCCGTAGGTCTTACAGACTAGGAAAGGTACAGAGGCACTGCAAAGAACTGAGCCGAGCCTCAAACACGTGCTGTTGGATTGAAAAGATATTTGGACAGAAAATAAAACCAGCAAGAAAATTAAGTCAGTCCTGAAACTTTCTGCAAAAAGACTTAACATTTTACATAAAAGGAAAAAGCATATGTTAAAAGCAGCCCGACAATGATGTTTAATTTGATTGGAAAATCTTGCAATAGATATGTATGAACGTTCTCTAAGAATAAATGACTTATGGCCTGCCGTAGTTTTCTTCATCAGCTCTTTTTTACAGTATTACAGTACAGTGGAAAAGGCTTGAATCATTCTTCTTCCAAGGAATCAGACTTTCTTGTATCTTTCTTAAACAATTTCCAAATCATTGTAGTTGGACCTATGAAATGCCAAAGAGTACACAGTTTGACCAACATAAAAAAATGTTTTTGAACCACCAAAGTGACTTCAAAAGTGCCTAAGAGTCCTTGAAAAGTGCCGAATATGTCCAGGTGGAAGAAGGCAAGAAGTGACTGTGACAGCAGATAAACAGTATCTGAAAGTCATATCCTTAGGAAATAGGGAAAATTAGCATCAGCTTCCGTTCCTCATATTTCAGTGTGACAATGATCCCAAACACACTGAACTGTAGTAAAAGCAAAACACACAATGAAACACTATCAGTTGGGGACTGGCTTACCCCGAGCCCCGACCTCATTATTGAAGCAGTGTGGGATCATCTTCATCATTCAAAGCTCTTCATCACCATGAAATTTTTTTAATGTGCTTCAAGAAGCCTGGAGAACTATTCCTCAACTACTTAAAGAAATGACAAGAAAGCTTACTTAAGAAAGTTCAGGCTGTGTTAAAGAATAAAGGTGGTCATACCAAATGTTGAGTTTCAAGCTTGTTAGAATTGCACAAACTGTTTTTTCCTTATACATTGCATTTCTGTGTATGTTTGTACATTGTCTCAAAACACTGCACCAATTTTCTATTTTCCCAGCACAGTATAAAGAAATGACAGGTGGGTCAAGATTTTAGCACAGCACTGTAAATGAATGCAAGGATTAAGATGATCTCATACCTTTCTGGTAGCTGGACACCAATGACTATGGTAAACCTGTGGAAAAATTCTGAATCGTTGTCCAAAAGCTTATCTGGACCCTGCAGGTGTGACAGAAATTACAAGAGGCTTCAGAGTGGCAAAAGTCATAAATTCACAAACCATATGTTTCATTCATCTGAATCAGAGTTAGGTTTATTGTCAAGTTTGTGGAATTTGTCTTGGTGTAATGGTGGAGAAAGATCTTCATTTCAACATCACAAACACTGCGGATGCTTAAAATTTCTACTGAAACATTATTAAGGTTTTGAAAACAGCTGGAAAAGTTAATGTGGCATGTTGTCAGATAATTTCACCATACACTTAACTATTGCTCAGACATTGACCAAGTTGGTAAATCTTGTTATGATCTCATGATCTTTAGCTGAAAACAAAATAGCTGTGCAACACATTTAAATAAAAATAGCTGGATACAGCCCTAGTGATAAGTTACATGAAATTCATTTTGGTAGTTTTTTGTGTGTGTGTAATCATGCTGCCATGTGATTACAGACAGTACATGTGATTACAGACAGCCAAGACTGCCTTGGAAGGGAAGCAACACCAACCTCCTCGACAAAGTTTCCAGAGACATCACTGTTCAGCTCTTGCAGCAGTTCGGTGGCAGCCTGTGCCCTGTTCTGCAGCACAAAAAGTACGATAAGAACTCAAACAAATATGGAAATACACTGCTTACTTCAACAAAAGAACAAAAGAGAAGGTTGGGAGAAAATGGAAACTGCCAGCAACGCATACCTTTCCTATGCTGTCTTTGCTGAGGAAAAAGCTGCAAAAGGAGAGGTCAGCTGCAAGCAGGCAAGTAAAACTGATAGAATAAAAATACTTTTAAGCTAAACATGACCACTTACTTGTTTCCAACATCTTCACCTGTGACTGTGTGCCCATCTACTATAGTGAATGCTCCAATACCTGACACACAGAACAATTCATTCAGTCAGATGTTTTCACCATCACCTGCAGCAAGGTCACTAACACTGAGGAAAATCTGTTCACCTGGAAGTACGAGGTTCTTCAGTATCTCCGTTCCCGTCGCCGTGGCGTTGATGAGACACACGTGTGCATTTTCCAGTGTTTCCTGGCCGTGGTCACCCCACAGCCTGAAAGCACACAGCACAACACGGACATTTGTTGCCATTTATCATCACTTGCTATACAAACACAGTGAGCTACTTTTCCCAGAATGACTCGGCTGCTGGTAAGAAAGATTCACCCTCATCGACAGCCCCTGCCCATCAAGAGCTGTTCATAAATACGTTCAAACAGGGTGACACCTGAGCCCTCACAGAAACAAAGAGCATAACATCACATCAGTCACATCACTCTTACGGCTTACTAATGCATTAGCTCGCCGGTGCTTATTTCAACTGCAACTCTCATAGCAAGCTAACGCTAGCTAGCTTCAGCACTTTTGCCCCAACAGCGTTGCTGCTGTGACCTCTCATGTTTTCACACGCTTAGCGAGAGGGATATTATTTCTTTGTGAAAACTACGCTGCTGTTTAAACTAACCTGAGCTGCCGGTCGTATTTTTGCTCTTTCGAGGCTTTGGTGGATGCCATGATAGCTATGTGTTGAGTGACGTTAACGAACGTAAATTGACTTCCTCAGCGCCAGATTCGACACAAAAGTGCCCGCTCGAAAATCCGCTCTTGCACTTTCGACACAGATCAACAGCGTTATAATTAATATTGTGTTAGAAATAACACATTTAATGATTCCAAATCTGAATTTTATTCACTTTTATATTTGTATATTTATATTGTGCATATTCAGCAGACCGCCTTTTATCTTTTTATCTTTCTTCTCACTATTTTCTGTTTTGTTTTTTCCCCTTTGATTTCGGTTAGCTATCAGGGATTTTAATGAATTTGTCTGTTTAAATGTAGTAGTTACAGATGACACATTACACCTCTGAAGCCCTTTTTGTTTACTATGGTGATGAGCAGGTTGACAGATGAGGTCAGGCAGGAGTCTCTGTGGACTATGCTGTTTTCAGATGACATTGTGATCTGTGGTGAGAGCAGGGAGATGGTGGATGAGAGCCTGGAGAGGTAGAGGTGTGGAGAGAAGAGGAATTAAACTCAGTAGAAGCAAGACCGAATACATGTGTGTGTGTGTGAATGAGAGGGAGACTTTGCATATGTAAAGAGTAGTGAAGTTACATGAGTTTAAATACCCAGAGTTTAAATACCCGGGGTCAACCAAGGTACCAAACAAGTGCACAAGAGAGGTGAAGAAGAGAGCGCAGGCTGGGTGGAGTGGCTGGAGATGAGTGTTGGGGTGATTTATGACAGAAGGATAGCAGAAAGAGTGAAAATGAAGGATTACAAGATGGCAGTGAGATTTGCTGTGATGAATGGTTTAGAGATGATGTTACTCACAAAAAACAGTTAGTTTTATTACCTGAAAAGTAATGCTACAGAGGAGTTTAAACATAATTATTTGCACAGTTAAATAGTCTTTTAGTCTTTTAACTTAAGTAAACTTATTATTAGTGCAACCTGTGTAAAAATCAAAATATATTTTCAATACCTAATACCTCACTCATATAAAATGGCTTCTGTAAGAATCATACAGATTATATCACTGCAGGTGTTTATGATTGTAATTGCTTGGGTCTTCCTGGGATCTATAACAATTTAAAAAAAAAAGTAACTAAAGCTTTAAAATAAGTGGTATGGAGTATAAAGTATTCTTCTATATAATAGATTATTACAAAATATAGTATATAGCTTAGAGTATAAAGCTGAAGCAGAAAGAAATACCTAAAGAAAAAAGGGGGATTACAGTACATCTGTATGTTAGTAAAATACTCAAATGTGACATTAAACTTCTACGGGGCCAAGGTTTCGGATGAATAATAATACATCTAATTAAGAATTTGACAATTTTTTTTTAAAATTTAATAAAGATCCCAAACCTACAAGCAGCAGCAATTAACAAAAAAAATATTGCACAAACTAAATAATATTGATTTGGCATGTCTACATCATGGAAGCAGTGCGAGGAAGATTTCTCAAAGGGCACCTTTTAGTAGATCACATTCTTGATTTCGCTTATTTTTCTTTTTTTCAACGAGGTGTCTATTTTAGCGTTCAATGGTCGTGCGCGCGCCCACACGTGTGGGCGTGGCAAAAAGAGGTACCTTCCCCATTGCCAGTAAACTTGTTGAACAGCTGTACCCGCTGATGTCCCTACCTGTCCTTCACGTGCGCAACGAAGTGCCGCTTGGTCCGACTGGAACCTGCAGACAGGGACAATGACGGGACATCACTGGGGATACGGGAAGGAGGACGGTGAGATGTTCCAACCTGCAAGCTCCAGGCACTGTTTTCCTGCGTGGAGGCAATTAGCAATTTAACTGGAATAAACGGCCTGTTTGCGGTGCTTCGTGTTTTACTCAGACGTTAAAGACAGCCTTTAAATCCCGATTAGCCCTACGCTTAATGGGATAAACGGTTTCACCTCAACCTGACAGTCCAGTCGAATTTGCCCTGAGTTACAGAGAGTGTAATATTTTTAATTTTGCTCTGTCTAATGTTCTTAAGCAGACTTATTCTGTGCTGTGCTACATTGCCTTAATGTTATTGAGAAAGTCTATCTGAATTCCCCGATACCTGTTTAGGACCAAAGTTTTAGATTATGCCACCAGCCTTTAGTTGTGGCCTGGAGGGAGAAAGCTTCATTAGTTTAGTTGCAGGTTTATTGTTAGGTGACACACTAACAGATCTGGTGCAGATCATTGTAGCTGCAGAATTGTGTGTGTTGTAAATGTGTTTGTTTTTGATTATATTTGTTTCTCCCATAGGTCCCTCTTCATGGTATAAAAACTACCCTGTTGCGGAGGGGAACCGGCAATCACCAATTGATATCGTCCCCAATGAGGCCTCACATGACCGCGATCTAGGCCCTATAATGACAAATTATGACCACTGCACCTCCATTAACATCTCCAACAATGGACACTCCGTAGTTGTGGAGTTCAATGACTCAGATGATCGTTCAGGTGAGAAAATAGTGCTTTTGTTTTGTTTGTTTGTTTGTTTTAAATTCACTTCAATGATATTCTCGTTCCACTTTACCTGTTGTAGTTATATTATATGTGTTATATATGTATTATATGTGTTACAAACATGCCCATATCTGTTTTAGAAGTTTATATAACTGCCGTGCAACTATAATAGCAGCCGAAGACAAACTTGATCTTCAGTCTGACATCTGCTGCCAGTTACATGAGGGGGAAATCTGTGCTAAAAGTTTACTTCCAGTAATCCTTCCCTTGATTTCTCGAAAGCAAAACCACGTGTAAAGCTGATTATTATCACAGTTTGCAAATAAGCCTCTTATTATGCTGCAGGAAAGCGTAAGCAGCACTTATCTGCATGACTGTCTGTCTGCTGGACAAGAAATATAATGATGTTGGATGATCTCAGTGGTTATGATGACAATATTTGTCTTTATCACTGGGTGGATCTGTGTTAACCAGCCAGACATTAGCATGAATGATAAGCTCGGAAAAGTAGGCTGTTTTGCTCTGACAGTTATCACAAAACAGCCAAATGGCTGTTTGCTGAAATATCGATAATAACGATGAAATAAAACACCCTCAAAAAAACTGCCATCAACTACAACCTTAGCACGATTTCTCTGTATTTCAAATGTTCTGCACAAATCCTCTAAACCCGTTGTTTGTTTGCCATTACACGTCTTCCTCAGAACTCACTTGGATGAGTGACAAAACTTTTGTCGCACTGAAAACGCCACATCCAGGTGAACAGAATCAACATTTTGGGAATGCCAAAAACAGTTATACTGAGACAGGTGCACACTGTTAAAGTTGTTATAATAAAACAGAATTATAATAGCTAACATGATTCATAAGTGCAGGTGGTTTATGCTCTTCTTTCCTCAGACAGATATTAACAGTAGCGTTACGAAGGTCAGGATTTACAACATTGCTACCTGACTCTGCACATTATTCATTTATACATATTTATCACTACAATGTAGATGGTGTAAAATGATATCTACATATTATTAACATTAATATCATATTGTTGATCATTGTTTCACATTTTGTGCCACTCCTACACAGCTAATGTGACCTTGAATCATCTGATCCTTTTTGTCACAACGATGTCAGCAGCATCACAATGAATAACAATCATCATAACAGTGGAAAAAGTCCACATCCAGCAATGCATACCACAGCCACAAAGCAGTCTGCAGGGTCTCCTGTTCTCATCGTGGCATAGATTAAAGTTACTATTTACCCTTGTTAAAACTGAAAAACAAGTTCAAAATATCCTAATCTTGATTTTGCATGAGACTGGCAATTTGCATCTGAAGCTTAAGCTGGTGCCCACAGAGGTCTGTGAAACGTGACATTGGAGACTTTGCTTCTATATCAGCTTTGACTGCAAAATTCGATGATTTGAAACCTCCTGGGTAGGGATGGGTACCGGTATCCGGTGCCATGATGGAGACCGAAAAGCAGCGCACATCTCGGTGCTTTATTTTGGTGCTTTTTTTTTCCTGAGATGTCATACGCTTTGGATTCCAGCCAATCATTTAACCTTTGCAAGCGTAGTAGGCGGGCCCAGGTGCGTACGTTCTTTTAGAGTAGAGCTACAGATGGAAACGCCCAAGGCGAAGCGGTCAAAAGTATGGCTGTACTTCACAGCAAAAGATGCAAACTCAGCAGCCTGCAACAAGTGCTTTAAGGTGATGCTGTGCAAAGGAGGTAACACCTCGAATCTGATGAAACACCTGGCGACACATAGTGTTTTTTTAAAAGCAGAGAAATGCACCATATTTGATAACTTGCTGCGAGACCTCACACCGAGCACATCTACTGCCTGTTATCGGTCCTGGAGTTTGCAACATCCCCCAAGAACCCGAAGAGGAGAGTCCTGGCCCCTAGCCCTGCCAGTGTAGCAGAAATGATGACGGATGATGATGGCAGCAGCAGCCGTTCTTCTCTGCGTGAGTAGCTTAATGTTGTTCGTGTGTAATTTACATTGAGTAGGCTAACCACGTTATTAAATGAATGCACGTAAGGTGAACTAGCAAACATCATCATAGCTACATGCGGCTGTCTTCTTGTTTGATGACAGATACTCCCTTCACCCTGGCCAAAAAGGCTAAAATGACCAAAGAAAAAGTGGGAAACAGTTAAACATGAGAGGTTTTTGGACAAAGTTGGTGGTTTTTTCCCCCATTGATTAAGCACTGCTTCCAGTCAACAGTGATACCATAAATCCCCTATAGCTGCAGAAAAGGCTGACATTATTGCCTTTTTACAAAAAAACAGCTAAACATGAGAGGTTTTTGGACAAAGTTTGTGTTCTTCATTCTTTAAGCACCGGTTCGAGCACCGTTTAAGCACCGGCACCGTTTCAAAAGTACCGGTTTGGTACTGGTATCGGTTAAAACCTAAACGATACCCATCCCTACTCCTGGGTGTTGACTAATGATGTCAGACGTTCGTGTGATGCTACACAAAGGATAGTTTGTGATGTGTTCTCATGAAATGACATTTTCTAATGCCTTCGCAGATATTCAAATTCACTTTTATTTTT